TATTTGTAAGAACATGGGAATGCGGAGACCTGATGATTAGCGGAGCGGGGGGGGGGGCAGATTCACAGAAAGGTTTATGCGTCACTGTTTTACTTATAACGCTATTTTTGCGAGATGGCTGTAATGACTCGGCAGTCTTAGCCTGCGAGACGACCCAGCTTTCCTGACCCTTCCACCTTCAGTTCCGATTTGTTTGCTCACGCTCGGCTCGCCCACTGTGTCGTACAAAAGTTGCATAACACGGCGCTTCGGGTGCCTCTGTGTAGGGGCTCTGTATCAATTACGGAAGCGTAAGCCTTCATTTCCATGTCATGATTACGTGCATTTCTTTGGCTGCAAGTCTGCTCTTACATTTTTGGTGTTGTCGATTCCAGAGATTGTTGAAAAAAAATTAAAAAACAAGTTCCAAAATTAATAGATATTTATTAATTTCCATTTTGGTCACGTCGTGAACGGACGAGGCAAAAATTGTTTGGGATGTTATGGTTATTTTGGGTGTAGGGCATTTATAATATTGAAAAATAACAAATAGTCGACATGTGGTTTTCCTCGTGTCCCTAGTAGCATAGATTATTCAAATGAATCGTTGTGTATCTGTGTGTGACGCTCGTGAAGGGAGATGAAAGGTGTGCTTCGCGTGTTGCCAGACGGCGCTGCATTGGGGAAGCACGGCAACGAGCAGCGTGACAAGCTGATCGCCGGCACGCACCCGAGCCGACGTCACGCAGGACGGTAAGCCCCCGCGCTCTTCTTGCAATACATAGTTCGTGTACCCGCCTACGGAGGCGCCGGTTGGCTTTCAGGCTGGAGGGCGGAACCATCGGTCATAGAGAGCGCTTTCAAATTTGACAAACTGTTTTCGCTTGTGGAAAAAATACTTAATGTAAATGCAAAATTGTGTTATTACAGTATTACATCAGAACTTTAAATAATGGCTAAGTAATAAAAATAAAGCAGCAGATGAACTGCTTTGCGATAGTTGTGATAGTAGAGTATTGCCTGTAAGCAATCATTTTCAAAACGCAAAACTGGCCGTAAATTGTCTATACCTAAAGCAACGTGCTACATCAGCAGTGTGTCGATCGGGTTGGTTCGGAAAAGAGTGTCGGCTTTCTCAGATATCTTCTCGGATTTGCTGCAACCGAGGTTTTCCTAGTTACCCGTCAGTCCCATTCCGTGAATCGTCTTTCCTTCTGAGTATCATTATTTGTTTTTCACATCATCATTCACATAAAATGCATGTAATTCTAGGAATGATTACATCCGAACTGGTTTATTTTTTATTAATCACATCTTTTCTAAGAGTTCAATGAATTTCCATTCCTGAGGTCTTCCTCTTTTCCAATCTTCCTTCATATTATTTTTCCTTGTTCTCAACGGGATCTAAAAAATTCAACACATCTGAAAACTTTGATTTTCTCCTCGCAACGTCGCCTGTGAATAGTTCCAAGTAAGTCATTCGAGCAATTGCCAATTAACCTTCCAGAAAAAAACTCCTTTTCCATCTATTCACCATTTTTGGTAACACCTATATCGACTTAAGGCAACCACACAGAGGGATGCAAAGCCACCAGCAACAGCCGGCGTCCTTTAAGGATTTTTGTGACCGCCATCCGTTAAGAACATCGAATCAAATGAGTTACAGCTAGATGGTGGACTAATATTCTAACTCCGAAAAATCGTATTTCTTATTTACATTATTTTCTCTTATGAGAAAGTGATAATATGAAAAATACTAAATGACACTCGGCCGGTATTACAAATATCAGACTTGGTTGGTACTGAACCTCAGAGACCGCCTCAGTTTCCAACCTTAAACCACGTGCATAATTGGCTGCGTATGGGCCTAACGACGCATACAAGCACACTCGGCGTAGAACGCCCACTTGTACTCGGCAGAGCGAGGCTGAGCCGATTTCCCGCGGACGCGGAGGCCGGGCGCCGAAGAAGACATTCGCGCCGGGG